AGGTGTGTAGAGGGAGGTGTTAGAAGAGGGGATGAGGAGGGGTAGCTCACATGATCAGAGTGGGGGTACTGGAGAAGTTGGCACAAGGAGGAGAGAAGGACCGGTGGGAGGGCAGGTTGCAGGAGGGCTGAGGGCAGTGAGAAGGGCAAGAGTCAGGACAGCAGAGGAGGGTGAGGAGTTGGGGGGCATCAGGCACCAGGGGAGCTGATGGAGCAAGGGGAGAAGACATGACAGCAGAGAGAAAAGGTAAAGGTTTATAAAATATTTATTAATAACTTGGGTGCCACAGTGGCACATCCAAACAAGCCACATGAACTCAGTACTGGTGCATAACAGAAAATTCATTCTCATGGGAGGAAACTCTTAGGCTATGTCTACACTGGCAGTTTCTTGCGCAAGAACATCTTGTGCAAGAAGTCTTGTGCGAGAACACGTCCACACTGCCATGTGCAAGCTGTGCTTTTTGCGCAGGAGCATCCATGGCAGAGTGGACGTTCTCTTGCGCAAGAAAGCGCCAATGGCAATTTTAGCCATAGGGGTTTCTTGCGCAAGAAATCCGTGCTGAGCATCCACACTGCCCTCTTGTGCAAGAGAGCTTATACTTGTTAGAAAAGAGTGTACTCTTGCACAAAACGCCCTCTCTTACCACGCCATACTGTAAATTTCCTTCATGAGAGCAGGCAGGAAGTGTGGCTGCTCTGTGGATTCTTGCACAAGAGAGGCTATACTTGTGCAAGAAGACACGAGTGTAGACATAGCCTTAGAGGGAACACTTCCCCCAGCTTCTCTGCCCCCAAGTTAATGTCACACACACTGGGTTAATGCAATTGCAAGATAGTTGCATGAGGGGGGTTTGGTGGGGGCCAAACTAATCTTTGTTGGTAAGAGGTTGGTGGAAAAAGTCCTTCAAGAGGGGTGACATGACACCTTTTACTTCTGGTCATGTGTCCATCTTGCCTCAAGCATGTTACCTCCAAAGGCCTGGTTAACAGGGGTCAGGGGAGTGGTTAACATGGGTCAGGGGGTGTGGCTAATGGAGCACCACCAAAAATTATACAAACCTGCCATCCCTGGCCATGCTTCAAGCACACTGCCTTTGTCTCACCCGAGACCGGCTCACAGATGAGGGCAACGCTTCAGGCACCTGGAGGAGTCTCCAGGGATCACAGACTTTCTCTCTGTTCTCCACAGCTGGACCAGCTGCAAGAGGGTGATAGTCAACACCATCTGGGCCAGCCTCTCGTCCCTGAGTGAACCATCCACACAGGAGAACCCAGGAGAAATTCCAGCAGGAGCACATCTCCATACAGCATGCTCTGCAACAAACCCTGGACTGGAGACTGGAAGAAGACATCGAGCTGTGGCAACAGACCTGGCAGGAGATGCTGAGCAGGGCCGCACCATCTGCACAGCTGTACAAGCACTCATCGCGCCAGCCTCTCGTCCCTGAGTGAACCATCCACACAGGAGAACCCAGGAGAAATTCCAGCAGGAGCACATCTCCATACAGCATGCTCTGCAACAAACCCTGGACTGGAGACTGGAAGAAGACATCGAGCTGTGGCAACAGACCTGGCAGGAGATGCTGAGCAGGGCCGCACCATCTGCACAGCTGTACAAGCACTCATCGCTGCCATGGTACTTGCTCCTGCTGCCGCTCCTGCCCCAGTTCCTGCCTCTCTCCCTAGCTGCCCCCGTGACCAATGAGGTCCCTCCACCTGAATCGGTGGGACCACCAGAGCCAGGCACCACTCCCAGCCTCAGCCCTGAGCCTCTTCTCATCCCTTTTTCCCTCTTCCAGGTTCTTTCCACAGTCCTTTCTCAGTTACTTCTACTCCAAATAAAAAAAAGAGGGTTTTTTTTTCAAAACAAAAAGTGTGGTTTATTGTCTCTGTAGGGGAGGAGGGAGAATGGTAAGGAGAGATTGAAAGGGAAGGCACAGAAGGGCAATGCACAGCCTCCAAGTGTGGAGGCCCAGGGGAGAGTGTCACTGGGTTCCTTGAGAGGAACGCTCTCTCCCAGATGCACATAGCTCCCTGATGGGCCTGCCGGATGGCAGCTGTGCATAGCTGCTAAAAGGTTCTGCCAAGTCAGCCAGCCTCTGCCCCCCATCCTGGCAGTAACATCTCCCCCTCCTTTCATATAAATTGTGAAGGACACAGCATGTGGCTACCACTTGGGGGATGTTTCACTCCCCAACATCCAGCTGGATGAGGAGGCACTGGAATCTTGCCTTCAGATGTCTTGTCTTCACCAGCATATAGACCCTGCTAAACCTGGCATTGACGCGTTCCTTGGAGTGGTCAAAGTGTAGGGGTTCATTAGCCAGGGCAACAGAGGGTAGGCTGCACCCCTCTACAATGCACATCAACACACTAGCTCCTCCCCCAGCTCCTGCTTCTCCCCCTAGGTTCCTCTCCCCCCATGACCGCCAAGGTCCTTATAAGGTCCTAATGAGGCAGTGGGACCACCAGAGGCAAACCCCAGTTGCAGCCCCGTCCCTTCCCCCTTCTCAGGTTCTTTCCCCAGTTCCCTCTCTCGTGTTCTCTCCCCAGTTACTTCTATAAATAAAATAAAAAAAACCCCAAA